CTCTGAAGTCAGCAGTGGCTCCCTGAACTCTGCCCAGCAAATTTCGTCATAATGCTGGTTTCAATCTCATAGTGGGCTGGACCCTGTCAGGGAAGAGCATCACTAGAGGAGGCAGGAAAGCCCATACCCACAAGGGGACAGAAAGGAAGGTCACAGAAACCTCTGTTACTCATCACTTGGGACTCTAGGGTCAGGTTCTCTGTTCATGGGAGAACAGTTTACCAGGGCTCATAGGGTTGCCTGAGGGGGACAGGCATGTAAGTCACAGGGAAAGGGCGGGATCCAGGCAGCAGCTGAAGCAGCAACTAGAAGAGGGGGAGCCACATAGTCACAATACACACAACACAGTATATCAAAGTGAACAGAGCAGCTCAGAGTGACCAGCACCTGACTCCTGCAAAGCCTTTTCCTGCTGCTGCTGTCCTATTAAGACCTCCCAGCATCTCTGCCCACCCAAATCCACACCCAGGGCAGAGCAAAGGAAGCCTGCCTAATGGACACAAATGCTCCCACAGACAGCAGACTTTCTACCTTGCCTTTCTACATTTGAGCCTCTGCTTTGGCTTCTACCACATCCCTAGGAGTGGTGAGGAGAAAGCAGCCCGTTCTTCAGACCTGCAGAAGAGACATGAATGACCAAGGCAAGGAGGCCCTTGAAAAATGCCAAGTCAAAGCCATGGAGAAAAGCAGATTGACAGCAAGCAGCTGGAGAGAGCAAGCCAGGAACTGGAGTAGCAAGTTTGTCTCTGGCCCAAGAGAAGTTGGTTGCTGAAATGAGCCAGGAGCTCCAAGTACAGAAGCGCTTCTGAGGGAGCAGAGACTGCACCACCGACTGTTCCTGGGAGCCCCTGCCCGCTTCACTCCCTGTCATGCAACAGGGGCTGGAAAGAAGGAAGATGCACAGGGATTAAAGACATAACCTTGAAAGAGCCCCTGAGCTTCAGGAGGCACACCAGGCCTGAGCTGCTCAGATAGACCCTCCCCCTGCAGGGTGAACCCAGCCCAGCCACCAGATCTTTCAGGGAAGCCCAAAAGTCCCTGCAACTAGTTCATAGCACATCTTCCCACATCTGCAGAAGACTCAGTGGGCAAGCATAGGCAAATCCTGCTTTAAGCATCTGATGTGTCACTAAGCACTGGTCCCCTAGTCTAGACACAGAGCTGGCAAAACTTCACCAGGCTCAAGCCTTTCATTGTGTCATCTCACAAAGCCAAGGACTCTTGCAGGGGAGGGGAAGCTTGGGAAGTCACTCCCAGGCTTGGCTGCTCTGATGCCAGAGTCCCCATCTGCCACTCAATCTCCACCTTCAAGCTGCTTGGCTTTCCACCTAACTATAGGACCATTCTTCTCAGCTAGCTGCAAGTCCTTCATGGGTCCTTCTCTAGATCTGGCCTTACCCCACCTAGAGTGGGAGACAAGCAGCCATACCTGTCTGTCAGTCAGAGCTCCTGGATCTGGACGTTTCCATGGTGAAGCCAGAAGAACATAGAGAACCAGTAGGCCAAAAGCCACCACCAAGATCCCAGTGCTGTTGGCAAAGACTGCCTCACTAGGCAGGCTGGAATAGGGTTTGGTGCCATTTTTCCTGAAAATGACAAAATAATGTAGGTCATTGAGAGAATTTTCTAACTTTTTTTTTTTCCTAACAGAAGACTAGATTCCTATGACATGGATTTAATATACTTCCTAAGTCCCTACCACAATGACAGAGAAGAACTTTGTAATGCTTTTCCCATGAGAAAAACAAAGACACTAGTGAAATGAACCTACCCACATTTACATAACCAGTACATAGCACAACCAAGATCTAAACCTCAAGGCTGATTTCATTTGCTGTTCACTTTACCATACTGCCTCAAAACCCAGAACAACAGTGGTTAGACTCACAGGCCTTGGAGGCAGATCGCCTAACTCATTCCCACTTCTGCCATTTTCTGGCTGTGTGCTCTTAGGTAAGTTTTTCTGTGCCTCACTACACTTTTTTTTTTTTTTTTTTAAACAAGGTCTCACAATGGAGACCTGCCTGGCTTGAACTCACTATGTAAACCAAGCTGGCCTTGAACTCACAAGATCTGCCCACCTGTGGTGCTAGGATTACCACCATGCCTAGGTCATTACACTCTTGTGACAGCAGCACCAAATGTTGTAGGTGCTTGAGAGGATTAAAACTGGGGTACTTTGAGCAACTTCTGACAAACAGTGGGTACTTTATCACTTGATGCTCAGTAAGTACTGCCAGGGTTACCAATTTCAACCTAAACACTGTCACCTTCCAGATCAGAATGGACTCAAGCCCAGAGGCTGGCCTCTGCTGGCTGAGTCCTGTGATTATAGGATGCATCTCCTGAAGCCCCTACCCCCTCCCATATGCCTTAGTGTTAGAGGCCCCTTAGAACTTACAAAACAAAGATAAGCTTCTCATTGATGCCGGAAATAACAGATGTGATGGACAGGGAAAGGATGCAGGCTCCAAAGCAGACGTGCACAGGTTTCAGGAGGCTTCGCAGCCACTGAGGTGCCCAGGGCAGGAGAAAGATGGCAAAGCCCAGGGACCACTGTGGACACAAGGGAGGAAGTCCCTGAAGCTATTTATTGACTATAAGTTGTACCCATCTACCACTCAATCTAACCCCATATCACATCTATCACTCCTGCTGGCCACTGTCCCCTGGCCCTTCTTTTTCAACTCAAACATTGCCACCATGCACAGCCTCAAGCACACACCATACGTCACTGTGATCTGCTCATTCCTATTACACAAGTGTATGAAAGCAACTAGCAACTTGTGTGTGAAAGGCTTGCAGCAGTGTACTCAGAAAACCTAGTCATTCTTGTTAGCTTTCAATGCCTGCCAGGCCTGGGTCATAAACAATTCAAGCACAGGACTAGCACTGGAATACTGAAATCACTTTGAGAACAGCTCTGGTTCAAAGAGGGAAGAGTGGAGAAAGCAGGAAAGAGGGTGCTTTGGAGTCAGCATGACATGTGGGATGACAAAGTCAGGAGGGATGGCCAGTCTAACAGGTGTAAGGAACAAAGTAAGGGTAGGAACTCCAACTCTCATGGTCACTTAAATAGCTGAGTCTACAAGGTATGAGGGCAGAGAGAATGTTGGAGCTGAGGCTGGTGAAGCCACACCCAGAACCCATGGTACCCACAGGGACTCAGGAGAGGGCAGAGGACACCTACCTGACAGGCGAAGAAGATGACAGTGATGATGCCCAGCCAGCTATGCAGGGAATAGAGGTGTGTGATTTTTGAATCATTGTGGAACTGAAAGACGGCAACCAACCCCACAACGGTGAAGGTGAAGGCCAGCAGGTGCAGTGCTGCATGGAGAACTTTCCAGGGCAGTTTAGGCCCTACCCATGACATGGGCAGGCGGTACACCAGCGAGGCTGCAGGAGAGAACAATCCCAGGGCTTGGCCACATCACCTTACACTCCCCTGATGTGACCCCACATAAGTGTCAGGACATCAACTCTTGTCCTGGTTGGTTTCTTGTCAACTTGATGCAAGCTAGTTATCTGAGAAGAGGGAATCTCAATTGAGAAATCCCCTCTCATCAGATTGCCTATAGGCAAGTCTGTAGGGCATTTACTTTGTTAATGATTGATATGGGATGGCCAAGTTCACTGGAGGTAATACTATCCCTGGGATGGTGGTCCTAGATGGTATAAGAAAGCAGAGATGGAGAGATGGTTCAATTGTTAACCGCACTGGATGCTCTTCCAGAGGACCCAGCACCTACATGACAGTTCACAGCCTTTGTAACTCCAGTCCCAGGGGGATCCAACACCCTCTTCTGGCCTCCACAGGCACTGGATACACATAGTGCACAGACATACATGCAGACAAAACAACCATACACACATAATAAAGACTAAAAAGATTAAGAAAAAAAGAAAGAAAGCAGGGTGAGCAAGCCTGTAAGTCACTTTCCTCCACAGCCTCTGCTTCACTTCCTGCCCCAACTTCTCTTCACACTGGACTAAAAGTATAAGGTGAAACAAACCCTTTCTTCCCCAGGTTTGCTTTTGGTCATGCTGTTTTATCACAGCAATAGAAACCCTAACTAAGACTACTCAGCATCTGCTACCTTCCTGTTACTTGTGGGAGGCAGTTGGCCAGGAACTAAGACAAGAAGGGCCAGTTAAAATGGGAGGAGCAGTTTCCTGAACTGTCCTGTCTCAATCCCGAGTGCAGCTTTGTGGGCTGATTAGCACTGTCTTTGCATGGTCTCACCACACTGCATCCACACAGTCAAGGTTGGTTAAGAATCTAGGCATAGCCGGGTGATACTGGTCTTTAATCCCAGTACTCAGGAGGCAGAGGCAAATGGATCTCCCTGTTGGGGTAGGGTTTGGGGGACAAAAGAACCCAGGCATGAAAGCTGAGGGTGCAGCTCAGCACCTGTCTATCGTGTGGGGAGTCCTGGGTTCAGTTTCATTCCCAGTATCACCAAAAACAAAAAGTAAAAATCTAAAGAGCTCAGGCATAGAGGTTCAAACCTAGCATCTGCTCCTTGCATGTTTGGCTTCTTCTAAGTCTGTTTCCTCTTCTATAAAAGAAGTGACTACAAAGCCCACCTCACAAACTTGCTCTAGGAACAAAATGGACACCTGGCGATAGTGGCACATGCTTTTAATCCCAGCACTTGAAAGGCAGAGGCAGGAGGAACTCTGAATTTGAGGCCAGCCTGGTTGGTCTACAGAAAGAGTTCCAGGACAGCCAGAACTGTTATACAGAGAAACCCTGTCTTGAAAATAAATAAATAAATAAATAAATAAATGGACAGCATGGAAAGCAAACATGGTAGTACATGCCTGTAATCCCAGCACCCAAAAGGCTGAGACAGAAGGACTGCTGTATAGGTCAAAACCAGGCTGGGCTATATAGTAAGACCCCATCTAAAAAAGAAGAAAAGGGGGTGTATATGAGGATGAGGGATAGCTCAGTGGGTAAAGTGTTTGCTGCATGAGCATGAAGGCCTGAGTTTAATCCCCAAAACCCATATAAAAAATCTGGGCAGGGTAACACACACTTGTAATCCCAGCCCTGGGGCAGCAGAGACAGGATGCCTAGGCCAGCCTAGCCTAATCAACTAGTCCCAGGCCTGTGAAGAGGTCTGTCTCAAAAAAAACAAAATGGGGTTCACAAGACAACTCAGAGGTAAAAGCACTTGCCACACAAGCCTAATAACTTCAGTTTGATCCCTGGAATCCACAGGAAAGAGAGAACCGACTCCTAAAGTTGTTCTCTGACTTCCACATGCATGACATGGCATTCCTATGCTCATATTCGCACACACAGAAACACCACCACCACCACCACACCAGAAATAATTAATATAGGAAAGAATTCAGGTTAAGGTATAGTGGTGCATGCCTTTATTCCCAGCACCTGGGAGGTGGATCTCTGCAAGTTCAAGGCCAACCTGGTCTACAGAGAGACTTCAAGGACAGCTAGGCTACACAGTGAGACCATGTCTTAATTGAAAAACAATTTTAAAAGAAAAAGAAAAATGTAAAGGTACAAAGTGCTTAATAATGAATGACACCCAAGACTGTCCTATAGACTTTACATATGTGCACACATGTGTACATGCATATACATACAACATATATATCATAAAAAAGTCAAGAACCAGAGGGGATGATGTGTGATGTATACACGGTAAGCAGATTTTGCCAATGCTATCATCATTCCCACCCTACAACCAGGGTTCACTTCCCATGTTACAGGACACAGATTTGAATGCATGGGACAAAGATGGATCCTCAACTCAACTGTAATAAAAGAGGCTTCAACTCCTTGTATTCTAGAGCAGGAGTCAAAATGCAATGCCAGGCCAAATCTAGCCTGCTGCCTAATTCTGTGAATAACATTATATTGGGACACAGTTACATTCATGTGTTTTATGTGCTTTCCATGATGCAATGGCAGAGCTCAGTAACTGCAATACGTATTATAATCATGCCATTACAAAGCCTGAAAAAAACTATGGTCTGGTCCTTTACAGAAAGCTTCACTGACCCTGTCTCTGAGTATCTGGGAAGTTGTCCCTTCACATTCCACTTCTTCCCCCAAATGGTAGCTGGTCCCAGCAACAACCCAATTCACCCCAGTAAGTGCTGCTCTGCTCAGGCCCCTCACACTGTGAACATATTACTCACCAGCTCCATAGAGCACCACCATGCCAGAGACCATGAGCACAGGGTGCCAGTTGAACATGTGCACACTGCCATCCCAGGCAAAGCCGCCACGCCAATACTGCATCCAATAGGTGGTGAAGAGGATGCACAAGGATCCCAAGGACCCCAGGACCATGCAGAACAGGTAAAACCGTCCTGAAGCCATTCTGATCAAGAACTCCTAGAAGAAGCAGAAGTCACATGTCCTAGCTTAACCATGGTGAACCTGCACAGCAGCTAAAGGAAGTGACACTGACCTCCCTTTATACCTGTGGTATGGAATCTTTGCTTCAGTTCCCCTGTCCCCAGATGGCCTCAATGTTGAGTGAGTTAAGCTCACAATGAATGAGGCTCCACCCCTGCACCTGGCAGGGCACCGATGTGGAGCTCTAGTGAGATGGCAAGGCCCTGGACTCACATCCTGGGTTCTGATTAGCCTCCCTACACAGAACCAGAAAGTTAAAAATTACTGCCACACCCAACCCAGTAGAGACAGATCAAAACCCTAAATGCATAGACCACACATTCCCAGGTCCTGGGCTCCAACATAAGGCAGCAAGACCACAATCTAAGGGGGGTAAACACATTCTAGGCTGGGTATACCTCCAACAAAATGACTCGGTGCAGGGGCTGGAGAAGTGGGTCAGCGGATAGGATCACTGGCTGTTCTTATAGAGGATTGAGGTTCAATTCCCAACACCTACATGGTGGTTCCTCCAGTTCCAGGGAATCTAATGCCTTCTTCTAGTAGTTTCCATGGACAGACATGTGTGTGATACACAAACATATGGTACATATCCATATATATATATATATATATATATATATATATATATGTATTTTTTTATTTGAACAAAGGATGGATTTGTTTTTGTTTTTGTTTTGTTTTTGAGACAGGGTTTCTCTGCACAGCCCTGGCTGTCCTGGAACTCACTCTGTAGACCAGGCTGGCATTGAACTCACAGATCTGCCTGTCCCTGCCTCCAAAGTGCTGGGATTAAAGGTGTGTGCCACCACCACCCAGATATATATATATATATATATATATATATATATATATATATATATTAATGATTGGGTGTGGAACATTTGTAGATGGCAAAGGTTTTTTGATTTGGGACTGTTTCCTGTTGCATGTTTTGAGCATTCATTTTGGTGACCAAAAGGTTTTAGGTATGGCCAGACATGGTGGTACATGCCTTTAATCTCAGTACTAGGGAGGCAGAGGCAGGCAGATCTCTGAGTTAGAGCCTGTCTAGTCTACAGAGTGAGTTCTAGGCCAGCAAGGACTACACAGAGAAACCCTGTCTTGAAAAACCAACAAGCCAACCAAAAAAACAAAAAACACAAAACCAAACAAAAACCAACCAACCACAGTAAAACAAACAAACAAACAAACAAAAAATAAAGCCAAACCCCAAGTTTTAAGTTTCAGAACCTTCTAGACTTTTGGCTAGGAAGACTCAATCACTAGCATTATGTCACTTTTGTTTGAGAAGATCTTCCTTACAGAGGATGAATTCCATGGGGCCAGGTCTTCACCCCAGGCCCCTCCACTGCTCTCCTTGAACTAAGGGCACCCCGTGGCTGTTTCTACACCTGAGACTTACTTCTGCTTTCACTTTTCTGGGGAAAGTCCAGAGGAGAGAAGAGGAAGCAAGAACTCATGGTCTAGAAAGTAATTATTTTTAGATTTCTACCAGGAACCAACTCAGCTTTCAGGCTTTCTCTGGTGAATATTTAAGTCACAAGCAGTTATTCTTAAAAACCAGGCAAGGTGCTATATTTGTAGCTCAGTGATAGGGGCTTGTTTAGTATAAGCAAGTCATGAGTTAGATTCCCAGCGCCCCCCCCCCCCCCGCAAGTGGGCAAAGGTCCAGTCCTGCTCTAGTAACAGGAAGAATAGCCAATAGTGTCCAAGGAGGAATACCCAAATCCTCACCTTCAGACCCAACAGAAGGCTGGCCTGGTCTCTGATTTTCACAGACTGAGTACCCAGAGGAAACACCTAACACTGCAAGACTTGTTCTCTGAAAAAAAAAAAAAGCATGGCAATAAAAACTATTAATTAAACATCAGCTACAAGCACTAGATACTGGCCCACAGTTCCACTTACTCCTCTTGATAACTCTGTGAGGACTATCACCCACCCCTATACATGAAGAAACTAAAGCTCAGACAACCTAAGTATCTAGCACCAGGACTGAGCAAGTCCACAGGAGCTTCAAACCTTTGTCTACTTTGATCTAAGGCCTTAGACCTTTATCCACGGGTTATAAGATCAAGACAAAAAAATATGTAAGGATATTATTGAGACTCAAGTATTATGACTTCACATTTACTACTATCATAGAATTAGAGAGAGAAAGAGAGAGAGAGAGAGAGAGAGAGAGAGAGAGAGGAGAGTAAAGACAGAGGAGAGAGAATGATATGCTATGTGATGTATACATTCAGGCATCCATAGAAGCCAGAAAAGGGTGTTTGGTTCTCTAGAGCTAGTTACAGTCAGTTGTGGACTAGCCAACTTGGGTGCTAGAAACCAAATTCAGGTCCTATGCAAGAGCAGCCAGCATTCCTAACCACTGAGCCATCTCTCAGCCCCCAGCATAGGATTTTTACCCTAAGCACTAACAAAACCTAAAGCTAGCTAGGCAAGGTGGAACCTATGCCACTAGCAAGAGCCTGAATCAGGAGGATTACTTGAGTAAAGGAGTTCAAATACTAGCCTGAGCAACATAGTGAAACCAGCTCCCCCAACACGAAGCTCATGGTCCCCATGCCTGCCCAGGCCTCTCAGTAGCCTTGATTATATATCACACCATGCAGCTACCCATCCAACCAGCTTCAGATGCTGGACTCTCACAAGGTGACCCACATTAGTAGCAACATCTAAGAAAGGGATGAGGGCGAGAAAACAAACAAGTTTCATGACTGACCTACTGGACTCCAGGGATTTGTTACCCTGCCTCAGAGCTGCTTCCTTGAGTCACTCAAGAGCAAAAGAGGTTTGGGATTATCAAGTGTCTGCCTAGTACAACCTCCATTCCTCCAGTGAAATGTTCCAGTCATCTGACAATATTGACTTCTGCAGTTTATTTATTTACTTTTTACAAGAGGAAAAAGAAGGCAATGCCCCTTAAGCTATTGTCCACTCTCACCCCTTGAATGAGTTCTATAAAATGTTCTCTCTGAACATTTTACTTGAGGGATTACTTGAGGGTGCCCTCACCTCACCTTGTAATAAACACCACATATCTTCTGTACTTAAAGTTAAAACTGGGAGTTGTGGTTCATACCTGTAATCCCAGCATTCCAGAGGTAAAAACCAGAAGAATCAGATATATGTGCACAGTCGAGGCTAGCCTAGTCTATATAAGACCTTAGCTCAAAACAAACAAACAAACAAACAGAAAAGAGCACATACTGGTTTTGCAGAGCACCAGAGTTGAGTTCCCAGCACCCACATTAGACAATTCAGAGCAGCGTATAACTTCAACTCCATGGGATCAAATACCCACTTCTAGACTCCCCAGGCACCTGCACACATGTGACATTCACACACACACACACACACACACACACACACACACACACACACACACACACACACAAACCTCAAAAAATTCATAAGGAACTGTACCCATCCTCCTTACAAGTCCTGGATTACCTCTTTGGGGTAGAGTTAGATGATTGGGGCACTTTTGTGACAGAAGGCAGGAAAGTTATATTGCTGACTACAATTCACAAATAAGCCCTTTCTTTTCCTAACTTAGCAAAAGCAAGGGAAAGAACACGTGCAAATGAAGAGACTAAGAGCATTTGTACTGAGAGAGCACTTTGGACTAAGATTTCAAGACATGAGCACCACAGCTGAAGTCTCCTGCCCTCACTCTTACAAGCCTCCTTGCTCAGGAGGGGAGTCAGCAAACCCCTTAGGCCTTAGAGGGCTTATAAAGTCTGTTGCAACTGTGTCATTCATTCTGGGTTGGTGCAATACAAGAGCAGCCAAGAAGAGTATCTTAACAAATTAGCATGACTGTGCCTCACTAACACTATGGACACTGATGTCTAAGTTTCATATGATTTTCACATTTCACAGAATACCCCCACCCCCGTAGTTTAAAAGTGGAAAAGCTACTCAGGGTTAGATGTGGCCTATGGGGTGTAGTTTATCTATCAGGTTTAAAATGTGTACCTATTCTTTATCTTTATTTAATGTTTTCCTCAATTCTCTGGCTAAAGGATTCTCACAGGCTGAAGAAACCAGAACGAGTCCCAGGGGTAAGAAATGAATCTTCCATTCAGTCCTTCCTCTCAGGAAAAGGTTGTACTCCACATTTTTTTTCAGACATTTTTTTCAGGGGCAGTTTGTTGCTCTCTCCTCAAAGACGGAGGAACATTAAGAAGCCTGGAGACCAGGTTTAGAGTTCAAATCCTATTAACCCATATCTTACAGTTCAAAAGCACTGCAAAGCTGGGATCCAAAGGAGAGTGACTTGATCAAGGCAAGTGGCAAGCCTGGTACAGACACCTGGGTCCTGTCCTCAGGTCCCAGAACTCATTTCCAAGGGCAGCTCCTCCAAAGCGCAGGACTCAGGAGTGAGCGACCTGTAATATTCCACTCAGAAGTGTGAGTAAAGTCCACCTGAGCACAAGTGCACTCACAGACTGCTCCTTCGTCCTTCAGACAGTCAGATCTGCTCCAGACGCAAGGGAGGGGTATGACACCGACCCCTTTGGTCAGCCTGGCCCTAGCAAGTTTTAGATAAGAAGCCTTCTTTCTGAAAAGCGTCAAAGCCTCTACAGTATGGAAGGGGGCCGGAAAGCGTCCAGTTCTTAAAAGGAAAGGCGGGCTGATGCCAGCTTATGACAGACAGCGCGAAGCAAGGAAGCGGTGGAACCACCACTGGAACCCATGTCCCGGCTCTCCCAGCCCGGGCTCTTTCTCACCCCTAACCACACAGTGGGACACCTCGGGGCCAGGTCTCTGCGACCAGCTGGCCGCTGCCAAGCGCGGGAGCTGCCACTAGCCAGGCTCCTCCAGGACGTTGAAAAACTCCCTTTCCGGCAAGCCTGCAATCCGCGGGATTCGCTACAGAGGGCGCTGCCTGGAATTTTATAGGCTCGGGCACTTCCGATGGGACGCTAGGGCGTCTGGGAAATGAAGTTTGCGTGCTAAGGTGCGAGTTCCCGGGCAGTTTCTGGACGGATTCCTAGGAGCACTGCGTCCTGTTTGCCTTGTCTCTGGCCCCACCCCCATCCCGAGGAAGGAGAAATGCTGGCGTTAACAGCCTCTCGCCTAGGGCCCGCCCTCAGCGAGGGGACATGGAAGGACAGGGCAGGCCCAGGAGAGCGAAGGCCCAAACATGGCGGGCAGTTAGCCCCTACTTCCGGAATTTAAAGTCAGCTTCCGGAAGCCGAGACTGGGTTTCCATGACAACCGACGTTGGTTCTTTGAGGTGAGTTTAGTTGATGAGCCGAGCGTAGAGTGGCCTGAAGTCAGAATTTTTTGTTGCTATTGCTTTTGCTGTGGGCTTTTTGCCGAGGCATCGCTCTGTGGGAGGACTGGGAAGGGTAAGGACAACCCCGTTAAGCTGGAGGGTGATCGTCCGCGTAGCTAGAGCGAAGGGTGCTTCTAAGGGATGCTAACAGTAGCCTTCGATGGAGCTTCGCTAAGTGATGCGTTTGGCCTTTCTCACTTGCTATCTGGAGAAAATGACTTCAACTCTAACCGTGTGTCCATGCCTGTAGCTAGGGGATAATTCTTTCCTACCAGGAAGATTGTTGGGAGGATTATAGGAAATTCTCTTGGTCAACAAGATTATCCTGGCGCCGGTACCTAGGAGAGAGATGAGTGTGAAAACTCAAGCCCAGAGAAGCTTGGATATTCGTATATCCAATAACATGAGGCTTTTCCACCGTGGGAGGTGGACAGGGCCTGGACCCCTCCAGAACGTCTGCAAAACGGGGGTTATATGCACTAAAATGGCTGCTTTTCAAGGCCAGGGATTAAGTAAGGTTATGAATATATTCCCTTACTCCTGCTGCTGTGTTTCTGTCATAACCTCACTGTGTCCTCTCAGCTCTTTCTGCCTGACACTGCGTATTTATATGAGACCATATACTCTGCCTACTTAGATATCCATCAGTTATGAAATAGGCTGGCCGCACAGTGTCTCCATCAGAATAGCAGTCTGCCACTTACCAGCTGTGTAATCTGCCAAATTAGTTTACCTTGCTGGGCCTCAGTTTTCTCATCAATGAATTGGGGAAAATAAAAGTATCTCCTACTTCATGAGGTTATTGTAAGATTTAAATAATATCTGAAGGAAACAATCTCTAGAGTGTTGCATGTAATATATAAGGATTTATTATTACTACTACTACTACATAACCAGGCTGTCACTTCTCTGTAGTACTCCTAAATATTTTTGGTTAGACTTGTTCATTTATCATGTGTAATGGGACACTCCTGAAAAAAAAAAAAAAAGCACTCAGGAAGCTGAGGCAGGAGGATCAAGAATTCAAAACCAGCTGGGATTACATAGCAAGTTCAAAAAAAAAAAAGGAAAGAAGAAGGAAAATGAAAAGAGCTGTGTGTGTAAAAGGATCTAGGCATGTAGAAAAGTCTGATGTTATTAGTCTCTAGAAATAATGACATGTTGTGGTGCAGTGGGGCAGAGCCAGGATGGGTGTGGTTTGGCCTTGTCTTGTTTTGTTTGGAGAAGAGGCTTGGCTATCGTAGCCCAGGCCAGCCTCACACTCTAGATCCTCCTGTTTCTGGCTCCTGAATATTGTGATTACAAGTGTATGTCACTACTCCTGCACTTTATTTGGGTTTTTGTTTTCTCAATTGTTTTGTTTTCTTGATGTTTTGCATTCGGGTGCTCAGTAAATGTTTATTACTAGGCTTCTAGTATTGCCTTCTTTGTCATTCCTTCCTTCCTTTCTTGATTCTCTTCCCTCCAAACAGGTTCTTGCATCAGAGCCAGGGAAACAGCTCTGATTTGGAAAAACTAGACATCTCTCCCCAAGTACCCAGTAGAGAACCAGAAGTTATCTTCTACAGAACTGTGGAATGTGCACTTGGGAGTCCCGAAAAGCAGCCAGAAGATGCTCCAAACTAGCAACTACAGTCTGGTGCTCTCCCTTCAGTTCTTGCTGCTGTCCTATGACCTGTTTGTCAATTCCTTCTCGGAGCTACTCCGAATGGCTCCTGTCATCCAGCTGGTGCTCTTCATGTGAGTATAAGAGACAGGCCTGAAAAGCTGAATCCAAACAGTTTGAAGGCTCTGACAGTCACAATTGAGCATTTTAAAAACCATCAGTGTGTCCAGAAGTCTGTGTTGTCTGGGGGCTTGGGGTGACTATATCTCAGAGAAGAACAGACCTCATGATATCCCTTAGAACTTAGGGCCATCTCTTAAGTCCTCACATAACCCCCACTTGGCTATACTTTATGTGTCTGCAGCATCCAGGATATTGCAATCCTCTTCAACATCATCATAATTTTCCTCATGTTCTTCAACACCTTCGTCTTCCAGGCTGGCCTGGTCAGCCTCCTGTTCCATAAGTTCAAAGGGACCATCATTCTAACTGCTGTGTACCTTGCCCTCAGCATCTCCCTCCATGTCTGGGTCATGGTAAGAGTGAAAGCTCTGAATTCTTACATATTTGATTTTTTAAAATTTTATACAGGTATTGTGTTATGTCTGTGTGTAGGTGGATGGAGGTGTGGGTGCCAAATGATAACTTGTGGGAGTTGGTTCTCTTTTTCCATCATGTAAGTTCTGGGGATTGAACTGAGGTTATCACGCCTGGCAGCAAGTGCCCCCAACCACTGAGCTATCTCACCAGGCCTTTCACATCTTTAAAGAGCTAGAAATAGCTTGGCATGGAGGCTAAAACATGTAATTCTAGCATCCAGTAGGCCAAGGTAGGAGGATTACCACAAATTCAAGGCAATTCCAGGCTACACAGTTAAGTTCTAGACCAGCCTGGGCTATAGTGTAAGACCCTGTCTCAAGAGGGGAAAAAAAGCAAAATGTGGTAGTATATACCTGTAATCTTAGTTCTCTGAAGGCCATGGCAAGTTCAGCCTGGGATATATATATAAAAATAAGTTCAAAAGCAAGCTTTGCTGACCCATTCTTCTAACTCAGAACCTTAAGGCCAAAATGAGCACATGATGGGCTAGAGAGATGGCTTAGCAGTTATGAGCACTTGCTACTTTTGCAGAGGATCTGGATTTGACTCCTAGCACCCATATCAGATGGCTCACAACCCGTGTAACTCCAATTCTAAGGGATCCAACTCTCTGACCTCTGATGACACTGGCACATACATGATACACATGTACATATGAAGCACTCACATATACACATAAAAGTAAATCAGTTTCCAGACATGGGTGGCACACACCTTTAATCCCAGTACTTGGGAGGCAGAGGCAGGCAGATCTCTGTAAGCTAGAGCCCAGTCTGGTCTATAAAGATAGTTCCTGGCCAGCCAGGACTTAATAGCATTATACACCATGCCAAAAACAAATAAATCTCTTTTTTTTAAAAAGAAGTATGAGCCGGACGGTGATGGTACACACCTTTAATCCCATATTTGAGATGCAGAGACAGACGGACCTCTATAAGCTAGAGGCCAGCCTGGTCTACAAAGCTACACAGAGAAACCCTGTCTCAAAAAAAAAAAAGTATGAAATATACAAGGTACACAAAGAGATGGAAGAATTAGAGATGCAGAAATCAGAAGCCATGAAAATCTGATCTGTGGTCTATGTGAGATAGATCCTTTATATTCAGGCTGTTGATCTGATTCATTCCTACAGGTAGAAAAGGCTTGATTTAAAAAGCAATAAAAAACAAAAACAAAACCCCAGGAAGAAAATGGTAAGGACTGGGGAATATAGCTTGGCAGCAGGGTATTTACCTGGCAGGCTCAGTGCCCTAGGTTTGATCAAACCCTGTCCTGCCAAAAGGAAATTCAACTAGAAGTCCCTGTCCTCTGGAAACACTAGTAGAAGGTGGGTAAATGAAGGTATCCTGGCTGGAGTTTAGCATATGACAGTTCATAGGCACTTTGTCAGCTTTCTGTCTTCAAGAATCCAGGGACTTTTCTATTTGTAGCAGTCAGTTTACCTTTACCCCAGATAGGCCTATCAGGGTTAAAACAGGAAGTTGAGTCTGTTTTGTCATCTGCTGTATGGGTAGGTGAGTGTTAACAGGGGATATTAGGTGTTAGTGTCCCGTGGTTAATATTACAGGCATTGGGTGTTTCTGAGAAGCAGCCACTCAAGAGTGTTGCTTTCCTCTATGCCCATTGCTGAGTCCCATCTTTACACCAGAAATTCAATCCCCAGGATGTTTCTCCTTAGTTTTCCTGTAGGCTCCAGATCTGATCTAGTTCTCCTGGTTTCAGATTGCTTTTTTAAGAATATAATTTAAGGGCTGGGGAGGTGGCTCAGAGGTTAAGAGCATTGAAAGTTAGGACTGTGACCCCAGGGTTAGAGCTCTTACCTAGAATTTGGGAGGCCCTGGCCTTGGTTCTCAGCATCACAAAATAAAACAGTCACTTTTTTGCTTCTCTTTTGACCCACTGTGTGGGTGCCCCTGGGGTGCCATAGAGAAGAAGCAGAGCTCACAGGAAAGCAGCAGAGCAGTGTGCAGGGATCAAGGGGCTTCCTCTCCCAGAGTCTGTGCTCCACTTCCTGGAGCCCTGTGTTCAGGCTGCTAATGTGATTGAGCCTTGAGCCTAAATGCTCCGAAGTTGTGACCTGCCAGGAGCTGAGACTGAGATTGAGACTGAGGGCTGGACAGTGAGCAGTGAAGCTTCTGAGATAATTTCTTCTTGACAAAAGCAATAGAGTGGAAGGAGATAAATACTTCAGTTCAAGCTTAGAGGAGATCCCTTTGAAGGGAAAAATAAAAAGGGGCAGGGGAGCAGCTGAGAGCTGGTAAGAAGCTAAACAGGTAAAGGAACTTGCTGCCAAGCTTGACAGCCTGAGTTTGATCCCTGGGACCTACATGACGGAAGGAGAGAACTGACTGTATCTTTGCATGCATGCTGTGTCATACTGGAAGGCACACACACACACACACACACACACACACACACACACACACACACACACACACAATTTTTGTTAATTAAAAAAATTTTTTTGAGACAGAATCGCACTAATAGTCTTGGTTGGTCTGGAACTCATTCTTTAGGTTAGGCTAGCATAGTAATCTGCCTCCTAAGTGCTGGGATTAAAAGGTACCACGGTGTCCAGCTGAAAATTCTATTTATTTATTTTATGTGTATGAGTGTTTACCTGCATATGTACATCATGTGCATGCCCAGTGTCCACAGAGGCCAGAGAAAGCATTGGATCCCCTGGAACTAGAGTTATAGGAGGTTGTATAGGAGTTATAGGAGCCATTGTATAGGTGTTAGGAACTGAATCTAGGTCAGTGCTCTTAACCACTTAACCATCTTTCCAGCCTCATAAAAAAATTTTTTTAAGGAGGAGTTTGAGGCTTTCTTGAGAAATATACTTTGACCTTGTGAAAAGGAAGCAAGATTAGTGTGATTTTCAACCAAGTGGCTTTGCTGCTTCCAAGCAGGTTGGAGATGTAATAGTCTCACGTAGCCTTTAACCTTTCCCTTTCTACTCATGTCTCCTTTAGAACTTGCGGTGGAAAAACTCCAGCAGCTTCATTTGGACAGATGGACTTCAAACACTATTTGTATTCCAGAGACTAGGTGAGGAGTGGAGCAGCTTCAGGTGTAGCCATGTCCTGCTGTGTCTGGTAGCACAGCCTTGATCCTGGCTTCACAACTCCATCAGGGTGGCCTGGGATGGTTGGGACAGCCACACATAAAGGAAAGAGGAAGGGCTGCCCTCCTCTCTCTCTGGGAGACAGCGAGAAGCCTGGGGCAGTGCTGGGTCTGGCTGGGCTTGGTTGCCCCTGAAGGGAACACTGAGGATGTCCCTGGCTGAGGCTAGTCTCTGCTTTTGTCCCCAGCGGCGGTGCTGTACTTCTACTTTTACAAACGGACGGCTGTGAGACTGGGAGACCCCCGCTTTTACCAGGACTCACTATGGCTGCGAAAGGAGTTCATGCAAGTCCGAAGGTGACCACTTCATGTCCCGTTGATGAATGCCTTTCCTTCCTGGTAGAAACCTCCTGGGCTGCTCTCCAGGGAAGGACAGCCCTTGGCACCAGGAAACATGGACTTCCTAGGAACATGCTCAAGCCAGCTGTGCTCAGCATTCAAGAAGGAAGACTCTCCAGGCATGGTTGGAAACTGAGGCAGGAGAATTTTAATGAGTTTGAGGCCACCCTGGGCCTACCCAGTTGTAGGATGGCCTGCAGAGGGAGACCCTGTCTCAAAAAGAAGGAAGACCTTTCCCAATCCAAATTAAAGTATTTTCCCCAGACTGTAGAACAAAGTGCAATCTTGCCTCCTACCTCAGTCCATCCTCTTCTCTTCCTGCTCCGTACCACACACTTTCTCTTCCCCTCCTCCTTCCTGAGGGCTCTGCAGCTCTGGAGCTCCCACTCTTTGAAGCTTATGGCTCAGCCTCAAAGTAGCAGCCTCCCAGCCCACCCTGCTCTCCTGATACCATACTTGAGGGACTGGAAGTTATAGACAATGATGGGCATGTCCTCCTAACTAACCACATGTTAGTCATTTAGATTTTATAACCAATGTACTTTTTTACAGTTCTAAAAGGAAATAAATTGAATCTTTTTTTTCATAAATGGTAAAGTCTGTGTCTATTTAGGTGTCTTCGTGGTGAAGAGGTATACCAAGTCAGAGAGCCTCAACATCTCTTTGACCCATGGGGCATATTGATCTATAAACTAGATAGAGATGCACACTGGGCTACAATATGAAGACTGTCTCTAACAAAACAAAACGAGAGTTCTCTTCTGTTCTTTAAAGTGTGATCTCATGCCTGCCCCAAGCCCTGGAGTTCCATATTTCAGTACTTTGGAAATTTAAAGTGTGATCTCATGCCTGCCCCAAGCCCTGGAGTTCCATATTTCAGTGCTTCCTTCAGATTCTATGTTTACTAGAAGCTAAAATGGTCCTCAGGAGAAAAAAAAAAAATGCTCCAGCGCCTGTTTGGCAAAGGAAAGTGTAGGGGGAAATGCTGGCCATGCCCGATGAGGCTCTCTCTGTTCCCTCACCCACCTGGTTGTACAGGAGGAAAGTTTTAGAATTTGTATGCTACTTTCTTTTTGTGTGTGTGTCAGGAGAGGGGGCTCCAGACAGGATTTCTCTGTGTAGCCCTGGCTGTCCTGGAACTCACTCTGTAGACCAGGCTGGCCTTGAACTCAGAGATCTGCCTGCCTCTGCCTCCCAAATGCTGGGTTTAAAGGCATTGCCACCAACTCCTGGCTATATGCTGCTTTCTATTGCTAGAGTACCATGTAACAAACCATCACCAAACTCAGTAGCATGTATCCCTGTGCAGTTGGCTGTCACAAGGTGGGTTCAGCTGATCTGGGCTGATGGGGGTGACACCAGCTGGGCCTGCTCAAGTCTGTTTGTGGTCAGCCATGGTAATCTTGGACCTTTAACTTGGCTAACCTAGGATGACCTCAGGAGGAATAACAGTTTACTGGGCTGTGGGTCTTATGATTCATCCACCAGCAGACTACCTGGGTCTGTGCACATGATGGTGACCTAGGAGCAGGAAAGAACGTGTCACATTGCATTCACAGGTCAGTCCTCTATTTCAATTCCCATTAGTCAAAGCAACTCATGACCTAAAACAAGGGCAAAGTAGAAGCAGCACAAAGTTTCAAGGCAGAAGGTTTAGAAAGGACGGGGAGTGTAGCTCAGCACTACAGCATGAACAGAACAAGGCCCTGGGTTTGATCCCCAGCACTGAAAGAGAGCATGAGTACATGTAGGACAGGACAAAGAACAGACTATTAACCGAATCAGGCCACACCTCATAGCTGTGAGGAGCATATAAAATGTTTAAGCACAATGGCTAACACGTTGAAGAGGCCAGGTAGCAAATACTGGACTACTGGACCGTGACAGTGAAGCAGGAACAAAGCCATATATGCTGTATGCTATAGTACCTGAATGAAAACAGCTGTGTTCTAGAAAAACTAGTGTGGACACTGAACTTTTAGTTTTTTTTTATTTGCATATGTCACCAAATACTCATCTTTTGATTTTTTTCATATAAAAAATTTTACCAAAATTTTGAGGGTAGAAGCTTGGGCCCTGGCAGCTCAGATAAGCAATCTAGGCTTAGCCTCAGTACTTGTCCTCAGTACACCAATTAAGGAGATAAGTAATAGTGAAAAGCAAAGATGAGGTTATTCAATGTTTTCACATTGAAAAGGACAAATAAAAGTGTCTAGTAATCCAAGTCCATCTGCAGAATATTGGACATGGAGTTTTAAGTTTAGATAGAAATGGGTGACAGGATGGCTCAGCAGTTAGAGGGCATGCTGTCTTTGCAGAGGACCTGAATTCTCTCCCCAGCTCACAAGTGTCTGTGATCCCAGCTCTACAAGGATCCAGCACTTCTGGCCTCTGAAGGCACCTCCACACACCCACACACATAATTAAAACATTTTTTACGTTCATACAAAGTGTATATAACAAAGCAGTCCTGGTCAAGGTGTGTCCCACCCATCATTGATCCATCATTGTCTTGCTCTAGTTGTCCTGAAGGAAGGAAGGAAGTCTGGCAAGTTGGCAAAGCTGTGTGAAGTCTTTCCTTGGGGACCAGTGCCTTCTTGTGGCTCCAGGCTTCTGCCCTTCCCTTCCCTCTGCATAAGATTTCTGGGGGATGTTTGATCTTTGGGTTCCATTGAATAGTCTGAAAGCACAAATGCCTCTTTAAGATTACTCTCACTTGGTGGTAGTGGCCACAAGCCTTTAATCCAGTACTCAGGAAGCAGAGACAGGTGGATCTCTGTGAGTTTGAAGCCAGCCTGGTCCACAAAACTACTTCCAGGACAGACTTCAAAACTATAGAGAAACCCTGTCTTGAAAAACAAAACAAAACCAAAAAAGATTACTCTCCTGAGCATGCTTTAATCCCAGCACTCAAGAGGCAGAGGCAGGCTGATCGAGTTTGAGGCCAGCCAGATCTAGTTCCTGGATAGCCAGGGCTACACAGAGAAACCCTGTCTGAAAAAACAAAACAAAACAAAAATATCCTCTCCTGTGAGATAGTTATAAAAATGCCAAAAACCACTTTTTAAATAGTTCAGATTTTTTTTAAGAACGAAACAAAAATAGGCTGGATTTGGTGTAAGGCCAAAGTTTGCTAACTTCTGCTTTATATTTGAGACCAGCTTGGGCATCATAGTAACATCGAGTCCCAAAAGGCTCAGTGGGTAAAAGTGCTTGCTATACAAGCCTGGACCTGAGTTAAAATTCCTGGAATCCACATAAAGAGCCAGATAAGGGCACTGGAAAGTTGGTTCAGCAGTTAGAGCACTTGGTGCTCTTGCAGAGGAGCAGGGTTCAATTTTCAACACTAGATCAAAGGGAGAAGCTATGTGAGTGAGATCCTGAGATCTGGAGGATGCAGCTTCCAGCCCAGCCTCGGGCTAGTAGGCTGCACTCTCCTGAGTTGGCTGGTGCCATCCAGTCCTGTTTGTCAATGGGGGCAGATGTTTGTGTCTCTTGTCTTTTGAAGCTCTGAATGTGGTTTGTTTGTAAGGCTCCTCTCCTTGCCAGGTGTCCTGCCATAGGAGATAATTGTAGGGCACTAGCTTCTAAGTTATGTGGATTTGACTATAAGGATGAAAGATTTCCTTGACTGTATGAATACTTCCACACCAGGGCCCCACAATTAGCCAATTAACAATAAAAGAGGGAGTTGTGTCCAATAATTGATTAATACACTGCTGTGAATTTGGGGGACGAATTCAACCGTGGGAAAGGGGGAGCGCTATGGTTTCACAAGGGCTTTTCAGAGATTACAGTGACTATTCAAAAGGCAGGCATTCCCAAGGCTTTGCAAATGTGGTTTCTCTCCAGTGGAATGTGTCGATGGCAATCCCATGTGTTAGCCTGGTGAATATGTCCCTTGGAATCTTACTGTATGATCTTGTGGAGCGAAGCACCTATTAATCCTGAGTCCCAGGATTAAAGGTGTATACCACCACCTCCTAGTTTCTGGCTGCTGGAATGAAAGGTGTGTGCCTGTCTTCTATGGCTTGTGGCTGACTTTGCTTTCTGAATCCTCAGGCAAGTTTCAACAAATCATAAATAATATATCAGTACAATATTATTTCCCTCTATGTGTATTCTGTCTGTCTTTTCACCACATGCATGCTTGTTGCCCACAGAAACCAGGAGAGGGTGTCAGATTCCCTGGAACTGGAGTGACAGACAGTTGTAAACTGCCATGTGTATGCAGGGAATCTAACCTGGGTCCTCTGTTGAAAACAGCCAGTACTTGTGACTGCTGTGCCATCTAGCTGGCCACAATACATTTTTGTTTAAGCCAAATGAGTTCTATAATTGCAGGACTGGTATGGGCAATGGGAAGAGAGACAGGAGAGTCACACTGTAGCTTTTATCAAAAGTTCAATGGCAGAAACAACAGGAAAGACCCTGCCTTAAAAACAAGGTGGAAAGGTGGCTGAGTGCTTAAGAACAAGTACTCTTCCAGAGGGCTCGGGTATGGTTTCCAGCACCCACATCAGGGGGCTCATACATCTAGAACTCCAGCTCCAGCTCCAGTTCATACATCTATAACTCCAATGTTCTCTGGCCTCTGCGTGCATATAGCACATAAATTCACATGGGCACACACATTAATTTAAAAAAAAAAAAGTGGAAGGAGAGAACTGAGTCCCCAAAAGTTGTCCTGTGACCCTTGCATAAGCACCTAAGCACAGGCACACTTTCCCCCACCCCTCCCCCATACTAAAATCTAATAAACAAATAGGACCTAGGCATAGGCACACTTTCCTCACCCCTTTTCACACACATGTACACACAAAATAAACAAAATCTAATAAATAAATAGGCAAAATGTATAGACAAATGCCAGAAAGAAAAACAAAGTTGTCCTAACAATAAACCCTACCTAACTACTTGGAGCCTACCCCATGTCTTGTAATGCCTTCTTAGAAACATCTAGAAATAACACCCAGTGACCCATGGTCTTACCCCAAATGCCCAGTCTCAAGAAAGATAACTGGATGGAAAACTTACTACTTAACAAGACTGTGAGACGTCTACTTACCTCTATAGACACGAACCCCACACAAATGACCCAAGAGATAAGGCCAAGCAAACCCCCTTAACTGTATCAAAGAACCCTCTCTCTTGCTTCCTCTGGTGGGAAAGTCTCTGAGAATTCACCCACATCTCTCCCTCTTTAGTCTCTCCCATGTCAGCTGAACTGATGGTGCACACTTGTGGTCCCAATTCACTTGTGCACTAGGGGTTGGGAAAGACTGAGCCAAGAGGATTACTGTGAGTTCAAGGCCAGCTCAGTCTACATAGTGAGTTTTAGGCCAGACTGAACAAAGCAGTGAGACTCAATAGGGTCCTGGTCTGGTAAATACTGGTTCTCGCCCTGATACAGAACATTCAGATACAGTGTGTAAGGTGCTGGCCTTGAGTTCTCCAATGGGAACAAATGGTCTTAAATGCTAACAAAGTTACCATCTGCATTTCATACCTTTGTGTGCAGAAAAGAAAGATAGGGATGAGTGAATAGCCTGATCTTGAATCTTTTCATGAACGCCTGTACTATCCTGATAGCCGTA